GGAAAAGGAGCAACCAGCCTCTGCCTGATTTTTTTACCACCATAGAGTAACACAGTTCTCTTTCTATGATGTCTACAAGGTCCCCCAAAAGTTTTTGTTGCTGAAACTATACAGATGATCTTATGCATATTTTGACGGTGAAGTGAACTCTTATTCCACACGTCATGCATAACCAAGAACATGGTTCTGCTGTAGAATGGGGGTTAGCAATTTTTGGGGACTCACCGGCTGTGCCTAATGGATTTGGGGGGCAATACATGATCATCATAGAGGTCAGAATATATGCAGCCCTGTAAATCATTGAGAGCCAGGCGACATACAAGTTTAAATAATAATAATAATAATAATAATAATAAATTCTTATTAATTAATAATAATAATTAGTATTATTATTTGGATACACCTGACATTTCCTGTTTATTTTAAAGAATATGCTAAGCTTATGCTACATTTTCCATATATTCCTTACCTCAAAAGGGAGGTAAACTGAAATTTGGTAGTGGAGTGAGAAGGGTTCTGGAGCTTGCAAGTAAAAACTTGAGAGGTCCATGCAGTTCTGCGGCTGATTTGACCATCCGTGATGTGAAAGAAATGTAATCTCTGGAGTTGTGTGAGATATTTCTCTGTGTATGCTTTTATTTTATGAACACAGGCATTTATGTACCCAGAGAGGAAAACTTTGATGATAGCCCTAACCACGTTTTACTCAGAAGTAAACCCTACTGAGTTTGATGGGATTTATTTTCCAGTAACATACTTAGATTTGCAATGCCCATCTTGTGAATTAATCAAACTGGGATAATACACGCTATAATCTATTCCCTTACCCACACTATTGGAAATATATATTTACTGAAGTAATTGTGGGACACAAATGATATAGATAACAACTTGTCTATATTCTTTGAAGGAATTTAAAAGGCTTTAGTATTGAACACTATCCAAAAGGAAGGAAGGGAGGGAGGGAGGGAAATCTACATAAATGAATGTGATATGAAGAACCTGAAAAGTGGAAGGGAAGAAGGATCCATGTGCACACATGCCTTTATGTGCTGCCTAGGAGTTCTCTCCATGTACACACTCAACTTCTTTCCAGCATTCCAGTTGTTAGATGCAGCTATCAAATATGTGTTATCAAGTATACAGTTTTGAATCTCCAGCCTGACTGTGCATTGCTGTAAAATATCCATGGTGGTTCTTGGATGGAAACTCAGCAAATGTGGCTTTGTGTATTGGACAGACCTTTTACAGAAGAGTTTGGTCTACCTGCCTAACCTCTGCTCTGCCCCTTTAGCTAGTTGCCTACTTGCTCTTTGGAGTCTCTTCCTTCTTTTTCCTTTTTCACCATGTTTGAAAGTGTGTGTGTGCGTGGGGGGGGGGGTGAGACTGAAGAAATGCTAAAAATGGGCCACTCAAACAATCTCTGCAGCCTTTTCCTGTAGGCTCTCATGCAGGCATACTTCAGAAGCAGTGGCTAGACAATCAAAAGTCTCCTTCCACAGTCTTCAGTAGGTATTAATATATTATTCCCCTTATTTTTCTTT